GATTTAAGTCGAGAATGAGTATATAATATATATTTATATTTAAATGTGCTTGAATTTAAATAATTGAATTAAAAGAAATGCAGAGTTTAATTTTGCCGACGCGTTTCATGTATTTATTTAATAATAAGAAACACTCATCAGGGCGCTGCATTATAAAAAAGCACAAAAAGTTAAACTGAATCAAAAAGGTAAGAAAATTTCTACGTATAGAGTTAAAATAAGTACAGCTCATTGTACAAAAAATAAGTACAAATAATGAAAGTACTGTACTAAAAAAGATATAAGAAAGATAATATAACTACTTTCAAAAAATCAAATGAACTATTTTAGAGACAATGGATTAATTAAATGTTTAAATGAACTGTTTACAGAAAAATGATCAAATTTAAGTATTTTACAAAAAATAAACAAAACTTCAAATAAAAAAATGGTATGATGCAAATATTAATAATTTACTCGAACTATAATTATTCTTTGCAATATGGTTCAGATTACGACAATATTGTAATTTTTGTGATTTCAAATTGACTCAAGTGTTGTTGTAAACTTGATTGTACTTACAATTTTTTATGGTAAAATATGTCTTGTAATTATAATAGCAACCATATTTGTAATTTCTATAATCAGAAATTGATAGAACCAACCAATATATTCATAAGTGCAAATTGATCAATTTTTAAAGTAGGAATTTCAATATAATTGAACATTTGTAAAACAAAGACAACAAGATAGACTTGACTAATTATCAATGTCTATTGATCTTGTATGTGTCAAGCGTCGTTGTAAATTTTTGACGTTTCGTGTACCAAGAACAGGTATAATTTCATTGATTGGAGATTGACCAAAGTATTCATTCCAAAGAGCATGAAATTTTGAAGGAAATGTTTTCATACTTGAACAATAAGTAAAATGAACAAACATTTTCTTTCCATAATCAATTGGCATTTTTTCTTGTTTTACCAGTGAATTAATAACTTTTTCACGGTAATTTTCATAGTTGTTAAACGTCAATGGTCGATCAATGTTCAATTTTAGTAATATACCATTGTATTGTTCATCAATAAATTTGTTTGGATATTTATTCATTAGTAATGCCATTCGTATTTTTTCACGTTCATTTAAATATGCTTGAAATGTTGAGCAATATCTAATAGCACGAAGTAACATAGTAAATACTATATTTTTCTTCATATGTAATGGATGGATACTATTGAATGGTAAGTAATAAGGTTCATAGGATGGTTTTTGATAAACTGTTGTAAATAATTTACCATCTTGATTTTCAATGTGTAAATCTAGAAAATCAACATTTGAACCTATATTTTCTGATAATTTAATATTTTCATCAAAATGATTCCATCGATGGATTTGTTTAAACAAATGTCGAGCTGGCCAATTAATTGTAATAAATATATCATCAATATATCGGAAATATAATCCACCACTATTATTCACTTGTTTTACTATGTCACGTTCATAAAAGAACATGTAACAATTAGCCATAGTGAGAGTGAGAGGAGAACCCATTGCTCCACCTCGTATTTGATGATAATATTGACCATCATATGAGAAATAATTATTTTTCATAACAAATCGGCTTAAACGAATAATTGTTTCAATTTTAAGACCACCAATTTGTTTCAATNATTGACCATCATATGAGAAATAATTATTTTTCATAACAAATCGGCTTAAACGAATAATTGTTTCAATTTTAAGACCATCAATTTGTTTCAATTGTAAATAATCCATCATTTTCTTCAATGATAATACTCCTTCAACTTGTGGCACCATTGTATACAAATCAGTAACATCAATAGTACAAAATAATGTATCTTGACGTAGATTAATTTCAGACCATTCTTGTACATATTTACTTAATTCAAAGCCGGAAGTAACCGTTGTCTTTGAAGCCATTTGATCGAACAAAGGTCGAAGTAATTGATCAAGAAATTTTGAAATTTTAATTGTTGGATGTTTTAGTCCAGATACAATAGGTCGAAGAGGAGTACCAGCTTTATGAGCTTTCGGTAAGTAATATAAATGAGCTAGTTCAACCTCATTTGGTTTGATGCTCAATTGCTCATATTGTTTTTGAGTTATCCACTTGATTAATCTTAGATCTAATAAATATTTGTTGGTTCTTTGAATTAAATCTGCAAGTGGATCTTGTGTACCAAGACATTTATATGCTTTGGTTTTATCCATGTATTCATTTGACTTTTTATTATACTCTTCAAGTTTACCTAAGTGAAATACTTTGGATTTATCAGACTTACGAAGAACTACATTGGCCAATTTAAACTTGTATTTTAATCGTTTAACTAATCGACCGTAGTTTTTTCTTTTGTTTTTCTTCATCATTGTAACTGTACCATTGTGTATATGTAACTGGCTTGGTTGACTTGGAGGATTATCAGTTGTCGTTGAAACTGAATTATTATTGTTGTTGGAAGTAGTTTGTTGTTTTTCATTTGAAGGAGACGAACCGTGTAATTTAAGAAGCAATTTATCCAATGCGGCAATGAATTGTTCGACTGGACGACCAGGGCTTACTTTTTTATCGTAGAATTGTCTTTCTATTTTTCTTTTAAGAGTAGCCAATTCTGTAGTACGTCGTCGAGATGCCGTTTTTGGATCGTTGTAGATGAACCGAGGACCTAATTTAAGCAGTTGATGGTATTCCTCGGTTAATTGTATGTTTGCTTCATTGATTATGGCTGGGCTAAGAAGTCCACGCCCAACGTTCGAATATAGGCCGGAGGTATTATTTCGATGTCTTCTTCTTCTTGATTGTTGATTACGCTCTCGGCCCGCTGCTCGGATAAAAAATACACCGATTGTTCAGCTTCTAAATTTAATCTTTTTTCACGTAGCTTGTGATAATGAATAAGTGCAGCACTACTAGCTTCATCTTCATCAGTCTGCTTTGACAGGTTAATAATAATATCATTTATTTCATTGTTTATTAATTCATATTCACGAGTAGCTATGTCTTGATATATTGTCATTGCTTCTATACGATTTTTTCTTTTTAAATCTTTCATTCGATTGTAGAATTCTTGTACTTCCTGTGGACTAACCATGGATGCATCGATTTTTAAATTATAATCACATTTTGAGATCCATTTAGGAGGCAAGTCAAGTTCTATGCGTTTCAATATTGTAGTTCTATTCTTGTTTTTTGTCGACCATAATTTCACTTTGGATTTTAATACGAAATGGATAATCCGATGATTTGGTGTGGATGCCAATTGAAAGTCTTCTAAAGCTTTAAATTCATCTAATTGTGCTTTAGCCAATCGAATTCGATTTTCAATCGACATTTTGACATGTTCAGTACAATGGTATAAATATTTATATATTACTTTTTCGACTTGGTCGACTTTATCTCGAACTCGATCAGGAGCTAATGAAGTGGCAGTTATTTTTGAAGTTGTAGATTCTGTTGTAGAAGATGTTGTTGTTGTTGGAGTACCTTGTGCCAAAGCATCTATTGCTGCTTTTGATCCTTTATAGGATGGTACTTGCGACCAATAGGTACGTAATTGTGTCTTCAAATCAGAAATACTCGCACCAGATTGTGCCATTATCAAAGCCAACTGATTAATCTTATTTTTAATAAATCGATTATTCACAATTTCATCACGTTGCTTTGTTCGTTGTATAATTTCTTTGGCCCAATGTTTATTTTCAGTAGCCATTTTGAAATAATTTTGCCATACTTGTACTTCATAATTAGCTCGGATCCATTCATCATAAATATTTATAGATGCCAATACAAAAGCATAATTACCACTGTTATCTATAATTTCTTTTTGTGGAACATTTTCGTGTATCCATTTAATGATCCGTTCATGTTTCAGATATAATCGTTCTTTTTTTCTTTTTCTATTATTATTATTCTTCTTTTTCAAGAATCGTAATGGCATATCATTATCGACATTATCTTCAACCTTGTCATCATCATCATAGTCGTCACCGTCATTATTATTGTTGTCTTCGGCAAGTACAGCAAATCGATTATTTGTATTAATTCCGTTTCTTCGATATTGCTCTTGTCGAATTCGACGTTGCTGCTGTCGTCTAAATGATGCTGTTGTTGTTGATGTTTGTCGTTTCTGATTTCGTCCATTATTAATAATCGGTTGTTCTTGAATTTCATCATCATTATCAGCAACAGCAATATTGAATGGTTGCGTTGAATCTGCTGTTGTTGTTGTTCTTGCGAATATGGCTCGTTGAGGTAAAGCATCAACTGGTACATTGTTTGCATTTGTTGTACTGTTAAACGCCTGAAATTCTTCAGGTAAATTCGCTAAAGATGATGAACGATTACGCAATTGAACTGGCATAAAATCATTTAATTGAATTTGCCTTGGTCCATTTCTGCGTGGTTGTCGCTGTTGTCGAGGAGGTTGTCTAGATCGACTTCGCCGTTGTTGATTCGAACCATTTCTAGGTTGATTACGACGATTTCTTCCTCCTTCTCTTATTTGATTCTGATTCCGATTCGATCTTTGTATATTTTGTTGACGATAATATCTTGGTCGTAGGGGCATATCTGGTTGATTTCTCATACAATAATCATTCGAATTTGGAAAATAAGGATTTCCATTTGAATAATTTCCGTAATAATTTGGATAGTTATAACCATTAGTTCTAAAATTTCGGTTTTGACATTGATAATCATTAGTTCCAAAATTTTGATTTTGATAACCATTTGCCTGTAAATTTTGGTTTGGATTTTGATAAGTATTGGTCCATAAATTTTGGTTTTGATAACCATTGGCCCCTAAAATTTGGTTTTGATAACCATTGGCCCCTAAAATTCGGTTTTGATAGCCATTGGCCCCTAAAACACCACCACCACGACGACGACCTCGCGGCTGTAGTGGTGGTGGTGCATTGGGTTGTTGGAATGGGACTTGATTATTGCTATTATAGCTTATTGTCGACATGTATCGTTGAATAAGTTGAGAGATAAGTGGATCAAATTAGAATAAACTTTATTCAAATAATTTGATGCCGGATATAATTGGATGTAAGTAAATAAATTAAAAACAGATCAACCTATCTTATATAGAAAAGATAAATCAATCTGCTAGTCTCAACGTTTGCTTTTCAGCAAT